CTTCAAAGCCATATAATCCATCTTTTGAGTAATTTTCATGGCATTAAGCCTCTAAACAGTCACTAAATTCTTGCAAAAGACATCAGAATGAGTCTTATTTCTCTTTCATTTACAAGCCAAGTTAATTTTCAATATGATTTTTACCATTCTAACCAAGATCATTCGTATAATGGTTCAGTTAAAGTATAACTCACATTATATTGCACTTATTAAAACATTTGTAAGCAATTAACTTTGCATTAAAATACTTTAGTGATATAGGATTAAGCCAAATCAATATTAGCAGCAGCATCCAAATAATGTCTTGACTTAGTTTAATTACATTTAAAATTTTGTGAACTTTCACACTTTCATTTACACTTTTCTGTGTTTAAATATATTTAATGAGGTTCTTCTATAGCATAAAACAGTTAACCGTAATATGTATTTTGCATTACACTTTCGTTATAACATGAATGATTATTTTTTGTACTTACTATTAACATTAAATGTAAGATTATTTAAATATAGTTCTAGTTAATACTTAGATTGAGTAATATTTATCTACTTGTTAAAGGAATCCAAAATCTTCCTGAGAAGATCATGTTTATAGTTTGCTCATGTGCAATACATTCTAGAGTAAGAGCTTTCACAATATAGCTTACAAGTACTCTTGAATCTCCTTTTAAAAAAGTTGCCTCTTAGCATCTAACCCTGACAAACACTTATACCCTTGGCATTTACTCAAAAGTTCCTGACTTGGCAGAATTAGTAGGAATATTCTGCCTAGAATTAAGCAAAATAAGCTGTTGTTCAACCATGTAACTAGATTACTGTGATTGCTCTTTGCAAACGTCATTCTTACCCTTGGTATACTTCCCTCACTGGTAAACAAAGAAAGGATAATCAATTGTAGGTTTATCATTTACATTAGGATGCTCACTAAATTTGTGTATTAAGGGGGCTTGCAATGTTATCTACAACTAAAGTTCACATAATTGTGGGTAGGACTGACAGTCTAGTGATAAGGACAAAGATGAACTTTTCGATATGATATCTGTCATATGTGCTAGTTATGATACTCATATAAGCCCCTCAGTAAACAGATTTGGTGTGTAGCCTCTATTTTTACCGTACAAGGTAAATCTGGAGGTGAATACCTTGTTCTTCTTCTTTATTGATAACTTAGAGAAATCTATGATTCACAGTGCTTCATTCCTAATTAAAAATGTTTGAGATTGCATATGATAGGGGTTATTTCCATGAAATGTAAAAAAGTCAGAATTTATGTATCTAATTTTTTAAATTAATAGAAGTTAAATTATTACATTCATTCATGTGATGATTGACCTCATATATACCTGAAAAGTACACTCAACTCTGCACTTGTCAAGTTAACAGACTGTTTGTAGAGTGTTGTTTGATCAAAAAGCATGACACTATGAAGATGTGTTGATCAATTCAATATATGATGTATGGAATGTAAGAAAAGCTATCCAGAATCACAATACGGACCAATCTCATGTGAGGTCAGATTATGCACCATGTTCCTCAGGTCAGATGTAAAGCAATGTTCTTCAGGTAGTGGTAAGCCAGGTGAGTAGTCTTGTTCCTCATTTACTTTTATATATATATATCGTACAACATTTATGTAAGCTGTATTATTAATGTGTGTATGTTTCATGTATTTTCCATATAATGTTACATATCATACATCATGCTATTATTGCAATAAATAACTAACTTAAAATTGTATTTGGGTATTTAAAAGTTTTTGACCTTTTTTTTTCGTATGACTTTATTTCAGGCCACCATTTTCTTGTCAACACTATTTTGCCCAATGCCATTCTTGTTATATTCATAGGGAAAAATTGTGGTATTGCAAAAAAAATATTTAATCTATCTAATAGGGGTTGTTTTGTTTTATGCTGTACATTTAAAAAGAACCTAAACCTTGGAAACTTGATTTAGTTAAAAAATACATGTTTCTGTGGTTTTGGAGTTAGTGAATATTAAGAAGTAAAATAGGGCAACTCATAATAGTGAGATTTGAAATGAAAGGAGTCTCCATCATTCCATCTCCCTTTGTTGACTGTTTGCTAAATTTCAAAAACGTTTTTTTTACATCATTAATATATAGCAAGGCACTGAAGTCAGATGATCGTAAAATCTAACAAAACTCCACTTGGCCGAGGAGGGCGGCGAAGATCCCTCACCAATGCAATTCGTGTTTCAAATGTGTTTTCCCCAAGGTCTCGGAGAATAAGCAATGGCAGCTCTTTGATTAAGAAAAATAGTATTGATTCTTGCATGAAAGTAGTAGTTCGGGTGAGGCCAGAGAATGATAGAGAACAAAGTGAAAACTTCCACACAGTTGTACGCTCATTAGACAAGCATCTTCTAGTATTTGACCCCAAGGAAGATGGAAGTGACTTTTATTTTCATGGCAAAAAGCAGGTTCGAAGAGATTTGTTGAAGAGACCAAATAGAGACTTAAAGTTTGCTTTTGACCATGTCTTTGGGCCAGAAGAAAGTAATCAAGATGTGTTTCAAAGTACAACAAAGTCTATCATTGATGGTCTTCTGAATGGCTATAACTGCTCAGGTAAACACCATTTGAATGGTTTTAGATTCACAAAGATATATATATATATATAACTTTAAAAATGGTGGTTTTTAGCTTAAGTGTACGAGTAGCTTAAGAAATATAGGTTTATTATATCTTCTACATGTTTCAACTGTAGTTTGGTGTAAAGCTTAATGTTCTGGTTTCACTGTAGATTTGTCTTTTCAGATGTTCATGCATATGCAGTTTCATATTTCATAAAAATATAAAATATACAGCTTGCTTTAATGCTTATTGCATTTCCATGAATAAGTCTCAATGTATGTGTTATAGAAAAAAAATTAAAAGCATGTAGTCAGGAGAGTTAGTTAAAATATGGTATATGGGTTTGGTCAAAATGTGAAGCTTTTATTTCAAATTGTTTCAAACTAAGTGGCTAATTGTTTGTTTCTTTCAACATTTATTGAGTCCTTTCTGTAGCTACATTATAGATTTAGTGCTTGCTTTTCAGGTTTTGGGTATACAGTTACTAAAGCTGTATGCAATTGTTTTACCCATTTTAGTGTTTGCTTATGGAGCCACTGGAGCTGGAAAAACACACACCATGTTAGGGACTCCTTCTAATCCTGGTTTAACGTTTCTGACAGTAATGGAACTCTACGAAAGGATTGAGAGCATAAAAGAAGATAAAATCTGTGATATATCAGTTTCTTACTTAGAGGTAAAGTATAAAGGAAATATTTGTTTTGTTTATGAAGATATACACATCCATACTGTTTTTGTGTAAATTCATTGCTTTCAAACAGATTCTGTCTTAACAATTAAAAATTATCTTTACTGGTTTACTTCACTTCAAACAAAATAGCTTAGAAAATTCCATATTCGAACTTCATTTCATTAATTCTCCTTTTCTGCATAACTCTACACAGCCAATAGTTTTTATATTATAATAAAGTATCAGATTAGATTAAACAAACTATTTTTTCAACTGTGTATTTTTTAATTCAAAGTATATTGCTTACTAATTTAAAAGTTATAGCATGAAAACTATAAGAAGCTCCAAATGGTTACCAGATTGGTCCCTGGGACCGAGCCCATGCGTAAGTGTTAATAAGTGTGCAAGTAAAAGTTACCAGATGTTTTCGATTGATCCATTATAACATAAAGTGAGCTAAAGCTTATATTTAATATATATAAATATATAAATCTAAATAATTGGATTATATATATGGTGTTTTGAGTTGTCTTTTACTTACCACAGCGACCACATTTATTTTTATGTAGCTGGACTGAATTATCTATGACAACATCAAGTAAACACTCATGAGCAGGAATTTTTTATTTCTAGAAATTAGGAGGAATTGAAAATTTGACAAAAATATCAAATATATTTGTTTGATTTATTTTATATTTTGTTAAAGAAAGGCTCTAAAAGCCATACATCATTCAATTCAGTGTGAAAATCCTTTTATCAAAGCATATCCCTGGGAAGAGAAATAGCTGGTGTATCAAGTTTGTCCCTATAGTAAGCAATAGGCTAAAGTTGAACTTTCTTTTAAACATAAAGGCTCATCAAGTGATATGAAGTTTTTTTCCACATGTTTTAATTGCATATAAGTTGAAAATTTTCTCAATATACTTATTACTTATTTTGTTAAAGGAAAAATTTTAGAAGTTGAAGTTAAATATTCAAGATAGGCATGTGTCTTATAGGAGAAGGTGGCTGCAAGTAAAAAAACAGGTTGTTTTAAATAGGGTATAAAGGATAAAATTAAGGAAAAGCATTATAAATAGAAGAGGTATAATTAATTGCAATGATGGGAGATTTGGAGGATTATAGAAAATGAAGAGAGTTGGTAAAATGGTAAATTAGAAATAAAAAAATATATGAAAAAGGTTGGCTGAAAATGTAAAACTTAATATTTAGAATTTTTTCAAATACATTAAGGGTAAGCAAAATGTTAGGATAGGATAAGGCC